CTCAGTGAACTTGTCCGTCACTTTATTAGGCAGTCCGTTATAAAATATATTTATTGAATGGGTTTAAACAAAGAATGCGTCACTTTTGTTAAGTAGGTTTGACAGTAGCTCTCAGTGGCTGCGGACTTTTTCTCCTTGAAGGTAATCGGGATGCTCGTGTTCATCAAAATGCTTGTTAGACAAATATAAGTGATGAGCAGTTGCAAAGCCAAACGTTTCGACTTAAACCGTGATCTCCCACAGACCACCATTTTTTAGCTTTCTGGCGCTGAGCGTTACGTTGCCATCGTAAACGTGAGGCACTGGACAAACCTGACATACTGACGAACCAGTTCTCAGTGAGGGTAAAATCATTCAGTAAAGTCTCATAAAAACTGGTAGAGCAATCGCGGCATCCACAGTCCAAGAACTTTACCCCTCGACACGATGAACAATGTTTGAGAGGGTAAATGTATCTGTCTCCATTCCTCTGTGGCAGTGAAACTTTGTGCGACGTTCTCACAAAACTGTGTAAAATATCGAACAAAGTGCGACGGTTCTCCAAACGATTTATAATAACCGCCAGTCGTGCCATACGAAAATGAGAAAAAAGCTTTTTAGGTGTTGAAAACGTCAGACAACCGTCTAGTTGTTACTTTACCGAGCAGTTGGAGCCTGCCATCCAATCCGGCAACAAACATCTTATTGATGCAGTAAACTGGAATTGGAGGCATGGCATTTAGTCAAAGTCTGTCCGGTGACCTTGGATTAGGGACCCTCGGTACAAGAGCAATATGGACACAACACAAATGCGGTGGGCAAACCACAGGTAATAACAGTACGTTTAATTAATCAGAAAGAACATTGATAAACTTGTGAAGCCTTTTGGCGGTGTGCTGTCATTAAACCTGGGGATATGTCTGACTAAACGGCTCATAAGACCAGCTCGTTGTCCTGTAACTAGCTCGTTTAAATCCCAGTTCGATGGTAGCACTGCGTGCATTTTTTGCTTTTCGCCGTCCTAGAACAGAGAACACCTATAACTGTTCATTGGCCGGAAGCATCCCGCAGTTTCGTTTTTTACTTTTTCCAACGACCCAAATTGCACAACAAAGGCTGCCTCTGTTCGCCATTGGTGGGACCAGGTCTAGATGGTAACCTAGTCAGCTTTTGATTGCCGGTACACAATGAGGATGCTGAAGACGGCTTCGAGAAGTAGGTTTCCGAATCTCAAAATACCCTGGATATGTTGAGGTTCAGAAGCGACAGGAGTTGTCCCGCTATGAGAAAGTTAAACTGTAGCCTTCCGGCAAAGGCCAAAATATCAGCATCATCAAACGGACCGCTACAGCTGGAGTCAAGGGTGCCCCACTGCAGCCTGCGTTTTTATTTATTACGGTGTGTAAACACCAGAGTTAGATGAATTCAGAACTGTTTAACCGACGGCTTTTTGGGGTCACCAGATAATTCGTACGATTGTGTCTGCCCGTAAGCATTTGTAAGCTAGCTTTGATCCTGAAAACAGAACGATCAGGATAATAGTGTTCCAGTCTCCCGAACATCGTGGTTCGCCTACCACAAGGGGGAAATAACTTTTCAACTAGGTGCGACTGTGACCGTGGCTCTCACTGGTCCCAGCGGAACTGGAAGCCTTCATCTGTCTTCATTTTAGCTGCATTATGGTAAGGGACGTGCACATTCAGGAATGGTAACTCAGGCCTGTCAGAATCAGAAACCTGCGAGAATGACCATGTTTGTGCAAACAGGTGCATTCATCGATGGCCTAGCAATTCAGCCTTGGATTGCAGCGTTTGCCATATTTCTTGCACGTGAGCCGCACGAGTTTTCCTTGTCTAGTGTTTGGATTTGGGGGGAGGCGCTAAATCACTGCCGATAGTGACCACCATGATGGAATCTGTAACATAACTTTTAGCTCAACCACACAGACATAAACTTTATGATTATTCACTTGCTTTTTTAATAACTCACTTGCTCACCTGATTATTCACTGGCCTGTCTCAAAGCCATAAGGCAGATTACTGAATGCTTCCTTGCCCTTTGTGCGACCAGGTTTGAGACAATTGTTTTTAAAAGAAACGCTATTGAACTAATGAAAGCCCCACCACCTGAATAGATTTAGCAAAGACTGGCTAAACTTGCCGTCTGTCGCATTCAGTCAGGTGTTGACTCGGGGGTTGATGGCTAAATGCACCACAGGCTTCAAATGTTTAACACAACAATTGCGTAGTCTCAAAAATGAATGAGAGCAATGTTTGCGTAGTATTTTTTCATAAGTTTTGCTCGAAAGATTATCAACAAACATCTGGTCATGTTTCGGCAAATTTATTGTACAGGCATTTTTACGTGGTCACCCTGGGAAAAATGTTTTTAGTAGTACCTAGTCATGAATATTATTGAGTGCCCGATTGTATCCATCTGCCTCTAGCCCCGGAGTGAACAATGAGCTCCCGGTCTTGTATACGCGCAAGTGATCACAATCGGATGCTTCGCAGTTGTTCCGTCTTATTGCAGTAAGTTTTTGTCGTTGTAGCTATGCCTCATACTATCGCAGTTAGTTCACGGTCATATAATATATATATATATATGCATATATATATAATGATAGATAATCTGTGCTTAAAAGGCAAGCTTCCATATCCAAAAAGCCAACGTAATTTTTTGTCAACGGTTGCGACGTATACATTGTCGTGCGCATTAATATAATCTCGCAAGTGATTGTTTTTAAACAGCCACTTCCGTAAACGATTTAGGAAAGCCTGGAAACATCACGAACAAGAGATCCCGGTGGGTTCCAGGCGAGTCTCTGGCAAAACCAAATTAGTTTTCAAATAAGTGTATTTTCAAGGAGACCGTAAGGTTGATGGAAACTCGGAGACTGTGCCTACCTGATAAGCCCTAATAAGGGCAAAACCGGACCTGGGCTATCGATGAATTTTCAGCAACCCTATGAGCAGTGCATTGCGAATATACACCTATCACGCTATCTCGAATATCGTAGCGATTAAAACATGGGGCGGCCTGATACAGCACATTCGGTTGCCTAGAAACATCACAAACGAGGTATTCAGCTGGGTTCCAAGTGAGTCTCCCGAAAAATCAAATCAGTTTGCAAGTGTGTTTCGCTGATTTAGGAAATTACGTCCTCCTCGTCCACCTCTTCCATTAGTGTAGTTAAAGAGGGTAAAATATATGCTAGCGTAGCGCACCATGTCAGTTCTAGTGTGGTGGATAAAAGGGCGCCATTTCTTAAATTTCTCAAAAGAACAATCCCCAACACAGTATCTCTTTGATACAAGGTCGATAATGGGCGGACACAGACTGATTTCCACAAGAAATGCCTGCGTTCCTCTCAGCTTCCTTTTTAGCTTTACAAGATATCAACCACAGCTGAGCTGGTTATCATACTGCTTAAAAGAGACATTGCTCAACACAGGCGTGAACCTAGGCCTTTTAATCTATTTGCCATTGATGTAGTCGTTGAGTTCCTGCACAGCTGCAGAGACGTTTGCATCGGCGGAGAGTCATCTGGCGGAGCGTGCGGCAGACCACGTCGCAAATTATTTAACTTAAGTGATGCCAGGAAAACCGTTGGGTCATGAGCCAAGCCGCAATCCTTTTTCATCAACAGTCAAACATCTGTCAAATACTGGCCCTATAGTATACCCAGTCATCTCTCAAAGCCCACTGCCTTTTGAGCGACAAGCCAAGCACTGTTGCTCAGATCAGGTCAACCCAGACTGTGTACAAACCAGTAGGAGCATAGGTTTTGGTAACCCTGGCACTGACCAAGTGACTCGGGTCTCCTCAATGATCTTTGCAATCTGCTCTTATGGAAATTGCATGTTCCACATCTGCGAGCAAACAGAGTAAAAGACATATTCGCAGCACGTCTTCACATACGGACGTTTCAACGAACACAACTTGCCCAAATACCATGAAACCTAATTTTACATAAAAAGTCAACGTGAGATCCTGTGCAGTCACCATTCCATACATTCGATAATACAGTAATTCTTCAGTTTTGCTCTTGCGAATTTGATGCATTGGAGAAGTTTAATTTCCAATGCTTTAAAAATTTCAGGGAAATCTCGATCTCTGACCTTTTTGAAGATTCGTCTGATTTTATTCATCACAATAAATGTGAATTGACACAATAATTAGAATGTATATTTTTCCAGCCTCACGCGAATATTTACATGACGATACTCACATAAATCCAACGGTCCCAGTGTAATACTCAACCTTCGGCTGTCAGCGTGATATGAGCCAGTCTGGAAGCAATTTCTCCTGTCACGCCTCTAGAAACTTTCAAACGGAAGCATAATAGTGATAAATGAATTACAAGCATTTGTTTGTTTGGCGTTAAATGAGGCTACCTCTTTAATGTTAACCGTGGTATTTAGGGAAGTCCATCATATATATCAACCTCTCATCTACAACCTACTTATGGTACTCTCCAATTAGATGTCAGCCAGTCATGTCCACATGAATACTCAGACTGTTTGCTCAATAAGGTATCACATTTTCTCCTTTCTAATGCTTCTCAGATGCGCAGCTGACGACCCTATTCGGGGAGCAAACCGTCGAGTGAATGGGAACTGACCGAAGGATGTTCGATCGGTTTTAGTCCTACGCAGAAGCCTGAACAGTGACAGCAGTAACCTCAATTCTATGCGTCGTTTGAGCTGACCGCTTATTGGTTGGATGAACGTATGTGTCTAGATTCACACTGCTCTCACGCCATCGACATATCTGCAAGCAAGTGCGCATGTAGGGGATTGGCTAAAATGCATTAAGAGAGAATGCATTGATTCACTCGTTGCTGTCTGCCCGTATGGTTGATGGGCATGAGCACGGCCACCACAAGCTCAGAGTCCTTAGAACGGTTCACTTACCATCAAATCTGACGCTTTGGGATTGACGTGCACACACGCACACACATATAATCAGACGAAAGATCCAATAGGGAACTTGTACAAAATAAGGCAATACAAGGAGTCGAAGCCTCAATTGATTTGATGCGATATAAACTGTACTTATTTAATACCTTGTGTAGATCGTGCACAAATGAACATCACATGCGCACCTGCACACACATGCACATGTAGACAGAGAAGCATAGTTGCAGGCACACATACTGACATTAAATCGTCGTCAAATGCGCGTACAGCCTCGAATTGGTGATATTGTTTGACCTTGGCTCATTAATCGTTAAAACTTCACCGTCAGTGTTGCCGCTGTGTTTCGAATGCATAGTAGAGTTCAACTTGGACGGTGACACGCTCGTGGTTTCTGACCTTCGCCCCCTGTAGCAGGCGTCATATTGGGCGCACACATTTCCGAACCTACTAACCTTCACTGCCACAAATACCTCTTGTATCGAATAGTTCCTTGTGCACACCGCAATGGCCTCTTTCCGTCGCTTCATTGGTGGTTCAGAGTCCTGCTGGATTCACTCAAAGATGCACAAACCGGAAAGCAGGTACGTATACTTACCAGAAATCAGCATGCGGCTACCGGATGAGTTCTTTTGTACACAATTTAACAAATCTGCATCTTCAAGCACATGCACTTCCGAGGACTCCGGAATTGCTCGAACACTGAATCTGTCTCCTCATTCCCCTGTCCTTGGTGACAGTGACTCTGAGGATAGCGTGTCCTCAGATGGCCTCAATGCCTCCCAGTACACACAAAAAAACCATCAGTTTGAAACCACTGGGACCTTGAAATTTTATCCGGATCATGATTTTTCAAACAGACCTGGAAAATTTAACGTGGCTGAATCGGCCCAGTTTTCTCCCCGGTGTGGAATGTGCGTAGCAGCGACACGCGACGATCCCGGCCATGGTGATTTTGGTGAAAAGCAAAGTGACAACCGATTCCATATCATGTCATTTGAACAGGTCAAGGGACTACACACCCTCCTGACAGATAGCATCCCGGTTCACAGTCGCCAACCAGGTTGTCCCACTATCTGGTTACGCTTGAGCGATCTGTTTCAAGCAGTTGAGGAAAACCTCAAGGCTTGTGGCATTCCTGTTCGGGACATTCGAATTAACGGGGGAGCCGCATCATACATATTAGGTAAGTAACATAATTGATGAGAAAGAAGTTTCACATGTTCAAAAATCTCCACTGCATTGATGATCGCATTATTATTATGGAAGCTGATTATTTCGTTGACCATTGGAGTAGTATTTATGAATATTAAACTGTTAAACCTGTGAAAACACATCGTCAATTCCCAAAGTTACTGTCAAGAGGAAAAATGAGCATTTCCGAAATTCAGATCTTTCGGGATCTTCAATTTCATGCATAATATTAATGCTCGAAAACTTCGGTGGCCTAAAATCAACCTTGATTTGCGGCTCCCATACTAACTCCACCAAGTAGTTTCGAGCCAGTTCACTTCAGGCAAAGTAATAACTCATGTAATATGCATCCATAGGAAAAACTGGCATAGAAACGTTTACCGGGAAAAATTCAATACATTTTCATTTCCGTGTTTAATCACACCTATTGCATTACATCCAGTGAAACAGACCCTTTCCCTCAAACCATCTACGTGGGTTTGAACGTACTGTTTTAGCTTTGTTCTACATCGAAAATGCATTATCAGCGTAATTTTGCTTTTATGGATATCTAACGGGACATTGTTTCAGTGTATAACTGAAGATGAGTTTTTATTCTGGTAACATTTAACTAGTATCTATCGAGTTCTTTTTGCGGTGTTGCGTGAAAGTGTACATGACATGCAATGTAAAATGCTCATGACGATCAAATATTTCTGTTATATAATGGTCACAATAGATTGGAGATACGTACTGTTCTCGCGGTGATGGATGGAAGATGTGCCAAAGGAGTTGACAATTTTTGCAAAGTCCCTACTATATTTAACTTTATTACCCTTCACATCCTGGCAGTTACACACCAAAATTAACAAAAAGAAGGGTTTCCCAGGCTATGCTATTAATTTTCATTGGTCTTCCGCTCAGAAAGACTTAGCATTTCGCGCACTGATATCCTCCAAACCATACAATTTGCATGTCCCTGAGAAACGTGAATTGGTCTTTTTGATAGCCGAATATTTTGGGTATTGACTCCTTCTTGAAGAAGCACGGCAGCCAAAAACCCTGTTGTACTTTATCCGTTTGCACCAACACCATTTCGGCAGATGAGATGCAACACCAAAGTGTTTTTCTGGTCTAGGACAGTCATAAGGTACAAAAGGATGTCACAGACCTATTTGGTCGCGCTATTTACATTCACCTTAAGATCCTGACGGAGTATGGTGTATATCTTTTATTCAGCAGATTTTCTGTGCAGAATATAAACGTCAGCCAACCCCGTGGTTCGCTGTCTTCTTCAGGCATGCCTCCAACACCAAAAATGGCTGAGATATGTCCAGTGTTGGGTATAACTTGTGCTGATATGTTGTCAAATGCTTCTAAACTTCCTAAACACTTATTCCCTTAATGGCTGGTATTCGTGTGCATTGGAAGGAAGTTTATCCCATCGCAGTCTAGATGCAAACTGGCTGCACCACTACTTGGTCAGTCTTAAAAGGGAGATGTGGAAATCAGCTTTCATTAGCCTTCATTTGCTTTCTATTATAGATCAAATTCACTTATACGATGAAATACCTTTAAAATACCTTCACATTTTTGTCCACTCATACAATCTGGCTTTTGACTGTTTATGGTGACCGCTCTGTATGGAGGCCTCCTCGATTAAAGTGCCATCTGAACTATTGAACTGTATCTGGTTGCTATGGGAGACAGTAGCGGCTTTGACGAGAAAAAGTGAACATTCGCCGGATGCACCACTAAAAATGAATTCGGAGGCAAACTTTACCAGTACAGTAGGGCGCAGCTGGTGACTATTGAGCATCGATTGGCAGTAATCCTTAGACGTATCATTTAAATTACACGCCGTTTTGTTATTGCTACATTAGCAACCTAATAAATACGCCTCTTCTATGTGGACAGCACATAATCTAGAAAAGAAGCGGCAAAAATGGGTTAGCTTCTTCAGTCAACATTCCTGGAGAGTTTTAAGCGCTGAGTGGATTGACTGGTTGTGCGGTGTTATGGCATAATTTAGTATTAGTGTGTACTGAGTTCAGGGGACCCTAGGCCTTATCTTCCTCTATGCATCAAGCCTGGTTAAATTCTTGGTCTTGACAATTTGAAAGTTGGTTTGTGAATGTGGTAACCGCGGAACGCAATAAGATGTATATCATTTGAGAAAGTTGAGTGAAACCAGCAAACAAGCAGACAAGAAGTAGTCCTCAAAATTTGAAAATTTATTGTTATATTCACTCGTTAGTGTCCTATGTTTAAAGTTCACAGATTTTTGCCTCCAGTGGCAATCTTTCAAATATCCGTTTTACAGTTCTTCTAGTCACCATCGTTCTTAATGCACTCAGTACTCCTGTAATCGTGTCCCTACCAGATTACTTGGATACTTTATAACAAAGCCTTTTACTACAATTGTGCACAAAAAGAAGGGAAATGCTATTCGTGTTGGGTTTCAAAACTATTTAGGACGATGGGTCACTAAGGTGTCCAATCCAATTGCTTCAACCACAAAATAAAACTTCAGGATCCTAAAGGCGCTTGGCTGGTCATAAGTTATGCGTTTCAGCATGGAGACAAAATATCCAGCTCAAGTACCGGAACATTCTTGATGTAAAATATCTACTTGTCTCCTGGTTCAATTCAGGAATTTATGTTCGCCAGAAAGGAGAATAACAGCGTCTGTTAAGCACAGAGTTTAAAGGAAAAATGGGTATGACTTTTGGGACACTTACTCAGGTCCACCAGGGGCAAACAATACAAGCGAGACACGAAAGCTTCCAAAACTGAAGGTAAATTTAAACTGGGTTTTATTCTCGTTTGCACAAGAACAGCACTTCATCAAACTGAGAACCTGACTCTGTATGCTATTTGTGGTTTTTTCTTAAGCCCTCACTTTAAATTTAGAGCTTGGCTGTAGGACCGGCAGCCTTAAATGGATACCCGTTGATTTCTTGACCCAAACTACGGGGAAGCATTCCCATTCTCTGTGTGTATCCATCTCTTGAGATAGCATGCAGAGAGGTTTTCACTACAGGATCTACTTTATGAACCAGCTCGTTTGGCAAACAGCGTGGGTCTTTAATTCATTTCACGTCAAATAACGTAAGTATCACTTCAACATCATCAAAATCAAACCAGGCTACCCTTCGTTCTTCTCATTCTTAACTATTTGGGAAACGGTGCTTTGTATAATGCAGAATAAAGAAGTTCATGTTCTGATTAACTTCCATTCTATAATTCTTATCACTTTCGGGGCATTAATCGTGGTTTCCTCTTGCGACGTGTTCCATTCTCCCTTGAAACTAACACCGATGACTGTCATCAAAGCAGATTCCCCACCTTGTTGTTTCAAGAAGTCTTTCCATGCAACAATGTGGAGCACAGTAACACCTGTCTTTCTGAATATATCACATAGATTTCAGTAAACCAGTGCATTTCCTGTATAAAGAGCTTAAATCAGTTAACAGACCTAAGAAGCGCCTGCCTCGGAATAGTTTTTGGTTGTGTTCGTGATTAGACTTTATTTTTAGTCTTACGTTAATGATCGAGGAATTTTCATTCACACGCTTTGTGCTTTAGTTCACTCACGTTTTCGGACCTAAGGAAACATCACCTAAATCTCAGTGGTGTCTTCGTTGCACACGTCACTATGATAAATATATTCCCCCTTATTTCTTGAAGCATCGGGAATATATATGTGCATACTCAAAGGCCTAGGCAAATATCCGCCCCTCAGCCCAAGAAGGACAATGATGAAGCTGACTCGTGGAATTCAACAACCCTGTTTGGTGTATAGCACAATTCTGACTGTCAGGTTAAAAAATTCCAAACTCTACTGTATTAAGAGACCAGCGGTTCGACGTGGAAACGTTTTCTCAGATGTGAAGAGGAGCGACTAGTAGTACCGTTGGTTTCCGTGAACCCCTCCAACAGTTATGTCACCATTCTTGGCGTATTCTCTCTTTCAACCGACTTTAAGTTACATCCGTAGTTACCTAGCCAGTATTTTGGTAACTAGCACTCAACCGCCTTTTTAGTCATCACAACCATGAAATTTGACGCAGTCAGTCTCAATCATAGGTGTCGTACAAACGAGTGCGCGTGAAATTTGTGTTTACCACTTAATTAATTTTAAGGCACGACACAATGTCAGCAAACACGATTTAATCGGTTTTTTGAAAGGGGATGAGACGGCTTTGCTGATACATGCAACCCGAACGAGCAGACGTAGGCGAGCAAAGTGTGCACATGTGTGCACCATATGAACAGGAATATGGTGCGAGTGGAGTGAAGTTATCTATACCAAGATGTGAAACGCAGAAACAAACAGAAGAAACAAACAAATAAAAAACAAGCAAAACCTCTGGGTTACTTTGAAGTGTTCAAGGGTCTAAAGAATTAGTTAAGTTGATGGCTTCTGTTGCAAACCGCCCATGAGTCGGCTAGACTGCTTCGACCGACAACAACCGGTCTCGCCCGTTTTGGTGCTCATCGGGTAGTCATAGCCACTAAGGTCGGCGAACTCACAGATAACTAATCAGCACCCCTGAACTACCTATGTTCGATAATGATCATATATCCACTTTGGTTCATCGATGCTTGGGGACGTGGATGGAGCACCACACAAATTTAGCTCAAGGGAAAAGAATTGAGTTGGGTCGAATGGATATTTGCACCTTCGCGGCACATGCCATTAATTTTCATGTTTTCATGGTCGTATGTGAACAAACACAACAGGTCACAAACTCAATAAACGTTTTTCTGACACGGAAAATCTCGGAAGTCTGGTATCCTAAGCACATGGGAAGACTTCTCAAGGGCGCCAAATATTTTGCTGTGTTACCTTGTTGAAAGTTGGTGTTGACAGTTGAAAATTAAACTTTGATATACGAATGTAAAACGCAGCTTTTTGGTGGAAGTTTCTCCCATATGTATGAGAACATCCGGTGTTTGAATCAAGTCCTTGAATCATTCAAGTATGGTTCCCTTTAGAAGCTCTGAACA